CTTGTTCTTATCCGGGTGCAGAGCGACAGCCAACTTTTTGAACGCTTTGCGAATGTCGCGCGCGTCTGCATCACGGTTCACCCCCAACAGCTCGTAAAAAGACTCGGCGAAGGCGCCGCTGCCGAGGCACAACAGCACCAACATCATCGATGCGAACGTTCGCATGATGGCGGGCGAAATTCGACCAACGATGACCAGTGATGACCGATACAACGATAAAACAGCACGCTAAAAGAGTAAAAATGTGCAACAGCTGATCTAAACAGCGCTCACTAATCGCTGACTACACTAGAACCGCTAGACCGACGATACAATTGAACGTGAACGCAAACGCGCCAACCCGAGGGGAAAAGCCGTTAACTACAGTAAATTGTTGTGATAAGCAGTTACATGCTACCTTCAACCGCGCGTAGCATGACTCATCACAGGTCGAAATAGTGCGCCGACGATCGGTTGCCCGAGGTCAACGAGGTTAGATGAGTTGAATTGAGGTGAGATTCACTGTTGAATACGAGAAGGCAACGCAAAACGCGAAGATCGTGGAACGCTGATCGTTGGCGCGACACGTGACGTTGCAGCTGGCCGTGGCGTCGAAAAACGTTAGCAACGAGTGCTACACACGACCTGGCTTTAAGACAAGTAGCTGGTGGCGGGCAGCAGTGACTAACTCAAGTTCAAGTTCAAGTTCAAGTTCAGTAGTTGCTCTCGCTGGTGGCAATCAGACATGGCCACTGAGGTTGAAGGTACGACCGGGTCGACGTCAGGTTCGCCTCCTCTTCTTCATCCAGCTCATCCTTGCGTTGTTCAAACACGACCGCCGAACGTCAGAGTCGAGGCCAAAACCGGAGCCGAAGTCATGGCCGAACTGAGCCGGTCGTTGATCGACGCGGCGAACTTCGCGGCTCTGAAGCACTCGACGCAGCGGCGCAAAGATCCAGACGCTACGCCGTACATCAATCACCCGATCGGGGTGGCTCACATCCTTTGCGTCGAGGGTCTGGTGTGCGACCCGGTCGTGCTGCAGGCGGCACTGCTGCACGACACGGTCGAGGACACAGCCACGACGCCGGACGAGATTGAGCAGCGTTTCGGCGCGCACGTGCGTGCCGTGGTCGAAGAGGTGACAGATGACAAGAGCTTGTCGTCCATCGAACGCAAGTTGCGCCAGGTGCAAAACGCAGCACTTTGGAGTTACCAGGCGAAACTCGTTTGCCTGGCCGACAAGCTGTACAACGTGCGCGACGCCGTACGCCAAACCCCGGTCAAC